GCGAAGGGGAGAATCAGAGAGATCTCTCTCAGAGATTGCTGTGCTGTCAAATGTTGCTGGGCGCGATCGAAAAATGACGACCACCCACGGCGGCCACATGTACTATGTGATTAAGGTGCCCAGGGACACCGACGGCAACGAGAGGTAATCGCACTCGACAGCTCCTTTACATAAACACCCCGAACATTCTCGATAATGTGCCCTCCTTCTGAACCCACTCTCTCCGCTCACGGTTCCTTCATTGTTTGCGTCTTATCTTCGGTCATCGCCGCATACGAAGACATCGCAACCCGAGAGCTTCAGCTTCGTGACAGATTCGCGAACGTCTCGCCATAATCGGGAATATTGCACAGGGCCCATTTCACGAACGTCGGTTAACTGTTAGCCAGAGTTCAGTCAACTCCCTATCTTTTTCTATCTTGTTCTCTATGAAGAAGAAGAGACAGAGGATCAATTAACCTTCGGTTAGCAGTTAACCGACGTTTGTGAAACTGGCCCACGTAGCGTTGTAAAGCGAGAAATTATTTTCGAGAAAAAATGGCAATTGTTTGCGGGTTTCCGGGCAAAATTCGTGAGGCCACGTAGGAATAATTAAATTTTTCTAATGTTATACGTAAATTTCATTTTTCGCCGGAGGTTACTCGAAGATTAGCGATCTTCGACATGACAGCTCGATATTTCTCATCTCTGATCTCGTCTCGTTCATTGCCTCTCGTCTAGCATTTTCTTCCTCGTTCCCGTTCATGCTTTCTTCCCTTTCTTCTTCTCCTCTCTCTCTCTTTCTCTCTCTCTCTCTCCCTCCTCGTTTTTCCCGTCTCCTTCCTGTCTTCTTTTCACATACTGCTTTCTTTTCATCGCGAGAATAGTTGGCTAGATTCGATCGTTGCGCAACCATGCTCGAGCTATGAACCGCGTCGGCCTCAAAGAGCAAAGAGCGACGTCTCCTTCTCGGAGGTCTTCAACCCCTGACCGATTGTATAAACCTAGACGGGGGTTACACATTAACTGAAGATTCGCCGGCGGATCACGACGGTCACGGTTCTCACAAAGGTCTCGCGAAAAATTATCCAAAGTATATGCAAAGTTATTATCGCCCATATATTGTGACAAATACGAATATTATTCGAGAATTATTCATTAAGAGAATAAATGTTTATGTTAATGATTCGTAATCTGCAATTAAAAGTTTCAAGGCTTGGAGCAAGTACTAAAGAAATTCGAAATTAATAAAGGAGTCCTCGACAGTATTCAGATTAAATGTTTTTTTCGACTTTATGATTATTAGTTTCGAATTTATTATTTCAATATGGAGAAGTTTGTGATCACTGTATAAAATATATTTTAAATGCTTAATTAAATGCTAATTGATTTGGCGTGCTTCGTTAAAGCCTCACTTTCTTATTTATGGACATAAAATATCTTTGAGGGAGGTCCAGGTTCAAACCCTGGCCGAGGTAAATTTTTCGCAATAAATTAAAAAATTAAAATCATTTAGACACTAACGTCCTGCCTTGGCTCTTATATCCTTTATTCCTTCGAATTGTGATTTCACGTCAGAGCCGTATGAATTTTATCGATTAAATATCTTTCCTTGATCTCTGTACAAGTCATAATATGTGTAATATATGTAATAATCAGGAAATATGGAATAATTACGGTATTACAGTTGCTATTTAGAAAATTGTTGAGTCAAACTGGAAAGCTGTCGGTCAAAAACGAGCGAAGAATTGAAAGAACCGGGAGAGATGAAAGAAACTCAATCGCGTCTCGAATCTTTGCCTTTAGCGAAGTTACCTTGGACTGATCGAATAATCTCACAAGAACTAGCGAAAGAAAGACGGAGGTCGATTGCGATCGATCGCGCCGTCGGAAATCCGAGCCGGTCCTCATTTCCTATCCGTCTAGACGTTATTTCTAAAGGGACCGACTGCACCACCCAGCCATCCGATTGCGACAAACGTGTACATTAGATTATACACGTGCGCATTAATTCAGGAAATAAGCCGTCAAATTTCTCAAGGGTATCTAGTTTCGCACGTGAAAATTTGCCCCAAATTTCCGTCGCATTGACCATTAGAACTCAAATTAATATACTTCATGTATAATTAATATGCACGAATCGCGATTTAAATTTAGTTTCAAGCATTCACTGAGAAAAATGTCCGATTGAATATAATCGGATAATCTAATTACGGAATAACAAACTGATATATCCAATTAAATTGTATATCCGTTGAAAAATATGCTCGGTTTTTCGATCAAATTTCATCGGTAACTGCATTTTATCGGATAAATTTCATCGGGTGTGTCCGTAATTTAATCGAACAAATGAACCATTGGAAACACTATTTAATTCGCTTATCCGACGAAAATTTTTCTCAGTGTTGCCGTGAAATGTCGAGAAGAGACGCGTAGAGAGAAAAGGTCTATCTCGATGGAGAAAATTCTACAGTTCCAACGTATGCACTGAGAACAATTTTCACCCGGGTAAACCAATTAAATAGTATTTCCGATGGTTAATTTTTTTTATTACGCTTTCCGATTAAATTATGGATACACCCGATGAAATTTGTCCGCTGAAATGCAGTTACCGGTGAAAACCCGATCACATATTTCATCGAATATACAATGTAATCGGATATATTCGTTTGCTATTACGTAATTGGATTATTCAATTATATTCAATCGGACATTTTTCTAGTTGTCGCGGACCAGGAAGGAACGTGCAGATCGACCGGAAGCCCGTGCACACGTACAAAGCACGTGCGCTAAACCGCGGACGGGTAACAGTGCACCACGGCGCAATTAAGCGCAGCGGCGAAGTTAATGTCACGGCCATCGCGGAGCGGACGCGGTGCGATCGCAATTGAGCGTAATTTACTCGCCGCGCCTGCAAACGATCGCGTGTTGCCGGAACAGGGGGACGCGCTTAAATTCAAGGTGTTAACAATTTGCCGCGCAGGGTATTAAGAATTTTTAACTAACGGTGAACGGGCGACATGTTGACGCGATCGACGAATGATCGATACGTGTGCATCGAACGCGTGCATAGACGTCCTCTTGACTAGCGCGATATCTTCGCTCGACCGTTTCGATATCGGGCGTAAAACGATTGTGTGGGGAAAAAATGCCTGGTATCGGTGCCGCTTTAATGCTCGGCAAGATAGACGTCCCTATTCATTATCGCGATACGAAACTTTCATTCAGACTCGCGCGTTCTTCAAGGTGATCGCGAAATTACTCCACCTGGCTCGTAAAACTCGCGCACCCGCTCGGGCCGCGGCTTTTGTTATCGGCAGCGTATCTTGAGAACCGCTGCGAGCGACGCGAGGCGTGCGTGTGCCCGCGATTAGCGTTCCGTGAATCGGAATTTAATTAGAGAGTCGAGAAAACGAGGAGAGGAAGCGTCTTCCATGCCTTTCTTCCTGCGTATCTGCTCTCCTGCCTTAGGCGCCTCGGCAGTCATCGATAGCGTGTGCGATTAAGCGCAAATGTTTCTGGACCTGTGGCGAGTCGAAGGGTCGAAAAAGTCTCAGAGATTTGTCGAGATACACGATTGCTACGCACAGTCTGATAATAAATAACGTAGATATGGAAAAGTTGCAAAATAAATTTCTACGTGAAATAAACAGAAACAATTTCTATCTCGAGAAGTGCGAACTGGGTCTATCAAATTATTGTAACTTCTCGTCTTGCACATTATAAGTTTTTAACTAATTATATTTGGATGCTTTAACTGGATCTATATTTTTGCGGTTTATTTTTCTGATTATAATAATATAAGTAGGCCAATATCGATAATCTTGGTCTTACGCTCTGTTGCTTCAAGAGTTTTCATTAAGCCGGCACTATATTAAGAAAGGAGATGCTTGAGTGCACAAAACCGACGCTTGAATGAATAAAACAGATATTAAAGCCAACGGCATACGATACTATTTTTCCCACTGGATTCCTTACGAGGACCATGGCTCCTGATTGCAATCAGGATTTAGCCTTAAGTTACCTGATCTGAAACTCTGCATCCTTATTGGTTCTCGTAAGCAATCCAGTAGGAAAAATAATATCGTGTGCCGTTGGCTTAAGTTGAGGCTGAACAAGCTGCCGTAGTTAAACAGTTTGCTTAATAATGTCAATTATTAATGCGTCGACAAAATTCGCTATTGTAACATTATGTCTGTTCGACTTTACATTAAAAAAAAATAACGGTCAGGTTTTTACGCATTGAAACAGTTTTGCCTAGTGCATATCACCGATTGTGATCTTTTACAATGCATCAAGAAATTATCTCGTGCTAGAAAGCATTTTCCATATAAAACGCAATTTTTATGCAGCGAGATTCATCATTAAGATACCGTTCAGAAGCACGTGCTATTACAGCACGATATTATCGAATACAGGACGATTCATAAGCGACAGTGATGTAAGAAATGATGCTAGATTTCTTATTTGAGGAGATTTTTATGAATTGATATGAAATTCTTAATTATTTCTTCGTCTCATATTTACACGAGTAGGCTCTTCAATAAAATCTAATATGCAGAGTAAAGCGATGAAATAAAATCAAGTGCACAAAAATAATATTCGATATGCGTGTGTATCTATTACAGTTACAGGTCAACGAAGATGAAGATGTTTTCGCAAACTAGTAAACTTCACGAACGAAACTAGATAATCTCTTTATTTTCCAATTGATTTAGAGTAGATCTTATTTTAACAAAAGTTTATATCTCGTTACAGATCGAGAATGATGAAGGTCCTTTCGCAAACTTTACGAACGAAACCAATCTCTTTCTTTTTCATTTGAAGTAAATTCTATTTAAAAAGTTCAGTGTTTGAGAGATTTTATATCGGCAACCGAAAGATCGCGACGGACCCAATGATCTCCCAGAAAAATTGTAATCCGAACAAGCAAAGTGTTGTATCCGGCGTTGGATACAACAATCGCGAATCATAACGAGAAGATTTGTTCGCGCACAACTAATCGCCTCCTCTAATTTCAGTACGGACAGCGGCTGGGACAACCCGTTCAGGCCGGACGGCGATCTCTCTCGGGAAGCCGATGAGATCGTCGAGCTGATAAAGGGCGGCAAGCCGATCACGCCAACCCCGGGTCAAAACGCGCCGCCGTTGCCGGGATGCGATGGCAAATCCGGCGACTCGAGTACCAGTCCACTCCTCAAATCCGGGAATTGTCATTCGTCGCCGAGGCCGGGCCAGGAGAATGGCAGCGCACATGGTGGCACTCCTTCCAAATCCGGCAACCAGCCTGTCAATGAAAAGGTAAAACGAAAAGGACGCGTAAATTTTTGCTTCTGCGCTGTTGAATTCGTTGAGCTATTTTGGACCGTTCCACGGGTCGCCACTGCTTCCATTCGACGTGCTGTTAATTTAACTGGAACAATGGAATTAAATAACATGCAATTTGCTTTTTGGCTACAGGTTTTGTGCTAAAATGATCAATTTCGACACACATGGTAATTAAAATAACTTTATTGTTTTGGTTAAATTGACGACATTGAGTAGGGGCGACCTGGAATGCTTCAAAATTATTCAAATTAAGTAAAATTTTGACACTGTACTTTGCAGTGTAACGTTAATTTGATTGTGCCTGTATTTAAAGTTTGAAGGTCTACTAAATTATCAAGAGGAATCACGGCAAAGACGAGATAATTTTAACACCTATTTGTAGTGATGAAATGTGTCTGGTTTTCAGGTCGGCTCGTCTCGGACCGCGACGGTGGAAGTCGCGAGGATGACGGCGCAAGGTCCGGGCGACGCATCACAGGTCGAGCACGTCACCCTGAAGAAGAAGCCTAAGTGCAAGTGCTGCGTGCTGCAGTAATGACCGCGCGACGGAGGCGGCGGGGACGCGCACGTGAGACGAACCCTCCTTCATTATCGGGAGCGTGACTTCAGCTTCGAGGCTACCGAAGAAGTCACGGCTGGGCAGTTCGAAGCATCGAGAACGCATCGATGAAGAAGCGGCTCGAGGAGGATGCCGAGAAAAGCGCCGGCATTCTAAACATGCTCGGGGCCTGAAGAATCGAACGGGTCCAGAAAATGACTTCTCGGAGAGAGAGAGGGGGAGAAAGAAAAGAGAGTTTCGTCTTTGAAGAAACGTGGAGCGGAAGTATTTGAAACGAAAAGAATGTAATTGCGAATAAAAGAAAGCGCTGTCAGATTGTTGGGAATCTGAAGAATGAAGTGGACAGTAGGTCGAACAAGATGTCAAAGCAGCTTCGTGTCTTTTTAATCACGAAAAATTAAAAGGGAACAAGAAGGAATATATCGATGGGAACGAAAAGAGGATTTATCAGAATTTAAAGAAAATGGGGCAAGAGCTTATCGATTCTTGTTGAGGAGATTGGAATCTCTCTTGAGATGTTCTGGAACATGGAGATTGAAGCTAACTCTTGCCGTGAAAGATTTAACTCTCACCAGGCTACCTCCGGTTTTCGAGCACAGGGAAGAAGTCCACGTGGAAGATGAGACGAGGAACGAATCGTCAGTGCGCGAACATTGAACCGCTTTTGACAGTGATATTTTATGAAGTTTATTCATAAAATGTTCATTTTATGACGCGAGAGACCAGAGCTAGGAAAAAAAACGGGAGAAAAAAAGAGAAAGAAAAAGAAATCTATATATATATTATACATACAAAACTATATTGTAGATACAGAATGGTAGCTGTATAGCTTATATGCTTTTACTATCGTGGTTAATTATCGTCAGGATTATCGTGATTTCAAGAATGCGTCGTGCGCGTAGAGCGAGAAAGAAACAGAAAGAATGCGTGAGAGAAAGCGCGAATGTGCGAGAGAGAAAGGGAGAGATAACGATGAATGATATGACTATAAGGGGAAGAGTGTGCGCGACGAGGCATGTAAAGTTCCGCGGGACGTCATTCGTCCGTTAGATCTCGGTGCGAGCAGATATATCGCCGTTTCTGAGGAAGCTAACTCGGCAGCTTTGATCAATCTTTTTTTAATGCACTGCGAAGGGTATTCGACGCGTCGAACAGCGCTGCATACAGAAAGAGTGTGGCAAGATATACCGCGTACTCTGTTGCGTCTACGAATTTCTTGATCAATTTTAAGTTGATTTTAATCATTTTACTAACAACATTTCATTTGTGATCAAGAAAGAGTATGCGGTTTCCGGCACATTCTACGATACGATAGATAAGCATTTTATTTTATTAAAATGCATCGAAGAGTTCTGTAGGTAAAATTCCTCTTCCTCTTCTATATTTCAAACACAATTTCATTGTTTAAAAAAGTTCTATCATTCTTTTCCTCTCGCTACCTTTATTTCACCTCTGAAAATTTATATCGTGGAATTTTGATATACAGTGAGATCTTCGTATTCTCGAAGGTAAATTATAATAATAGAACAGGGTCGGACAACCCTCTCTCATAAAAACAGACGTAACAAGGCATAAGTGGGTGACCAAACAGGAAATGGTCTCAAATGCTTAAAAGTAATGTAGCTAATAATATTGATTAGTAGAAGGTACTGGTTACTATCTACATTGGCTGCGTTTCAAAACTAATGTTTGAACGATCGACATTTCAAAAATGTATTTGATCGTAGAAATATTTAAGATCGTTAATTGATAATTTATCATTGTGTTTTAACGTGTGATCGCAATGGACGTTAATGAAGATTATAAATCTTATGATTATGACGGATACAATAATCACAGTAGATTTTAGCATGAATTTTACTACATTTATATTTATTTCGTTTTTCGTGTCATCGGGAATGACACGAACGAGAAATGTTTCTTCTCGATTATTTTCCTTTTGAAGTCTTTGATGCTGGTCCCGCAACTAGTATCTAATAAGGCAGCTTGCTGATAGTGTTCCTAATTTTACCTGCGGAACTCTAAAGAAAAAAGATTATTTTCGCGCGGATATAAATAGCGCTTAACGCGTTAAACGCTATTGCTCCTACAAAGTCGAGATCGAGTCTTGAGAATCTTCGCGCGTATCTCTTTTAGAATATCGTTGAATCAGTTGTTGGTTGTCCTCGAATCGGTAAGTCCGCTCTCAATTTTGTCCGCCACAATGTGAAATTCATCCCGAATCTTTTTTTTTTATAGTGATCGATATACACGTGAGATTTTGTATTGTAACAGATTATGCAAAGTATTCGCGACTTTGATTGCAAATTTTTTAGGAATTTTAGGAAAATTGAAAGGGGAGAATGAGAGAAGTTATTTTTCTCTTGCGGTCAATCATGGTGAACAGAATCGCGCCTTTTTGAACATGCCGAGGGTTCGATCTTGAGGCCTCGTCATGTTCGACCGAGTACCTAAGTGCATTTCGTTAATTATCATCGTGAGCGCCGCCAGAATTTTTTATAGGGGCACGCATAAAATTGTTGCCTACTTTTTGAAAGTCTAAAACAAAAATCTCGAGTCTTTTATATATACAGAAGTGCGTTTTATTATTGAACTGAAAGTAATTTTAGCATTTCTTTCGTTGTTTTGCAATATTTATGGCATGCTGTCTTAAAATTTTTAATTAAAAAATTTTAGATAAATGAATTAATTAAAAAATTACAATCAATTAAGCATCTCCGCTCTTTTTAGTCCTTGGGAAATATTAATGAGCGTGCCCTTTTGTTCTTTTCTCACGACGCCCATGATTTTTATTGTACCTGCGTTGATGAGTTCCGCGTTCGATTAGGGCGAGCTGAGACAAAATGAATCACTAAAAACTCGTGATTACAAACTTCAAATTACATAATTTCAATTCTAGAAACATGATAGAACAATCGGTTTCAAATTAGTCGCAGCATCTGTCGTTAAAATACATAATTCAATCGGAGACACTTTACTAGCTCGGCTTGTTTTAATCGACGGTGAGGCGGAAGGACGCGAGGTGCCGGGGGGAAAAGAAACCGGATCATTCGGACGGTGTCGAAGATACTATTTTCCTAATTAACGAGCCGCTCGAGGAGGAAATCCCGGCGCCTCCCCGCTGCCGCGGTGGCGATTTTTAATGGACGAAAACAATTTATTGTGCGAACTAGTCGAAGGTATCGGGAGGTGTTAACTCTTCGTGGCGGCGATCACATAAAATGTCTTTTGTATCATAATTGTTTTAAAGTCCTAGTTGCATATATACAATATATACAAGGGATACATTACGAGAGGGAGTGTATTACGAGTGGAGAGTCACTGCATCGTTGCGTGCAAAGCGCGAAGCTAAATCCTTTTAATTTTAACTCGTAAAAAAACATACGCCCCACCCCCTTCTAAACGATATCAATAATTTATATCGAACGGTATTGATAATTCGATTTTAAGTCTCGTTAGAATATAGCGACGAACGTATGCAACGGAGTATATCTTTACTTTTCTTATTCTTTTATCTGCTCTGACAATGTGCCCTTTCGCAAAACTTGCGTTAATTCTCGCGAGGATCCGTAAAGGACTTCGACGGATCCGGAGATATTCAATATTTCGCGTGCCGCGAAGAGCCGATCGAGCGCAGTTTGCGCAGCGCAGTGCAAACGAGAGGAATCTGTAACGCGCATACCTACACACGAGAACCTCTTAACGTCTGTTCCCACGCAAAATGTTGACTCTGCTGAGCTTACAGATATTAAACGAATATTAAATGTCTTGTTAAAAAAAAAAGAAACGGTTTGTGAAGGATATGTTGTCTGTGTGATACGAGGCCTACGAAGATGGATCCAGAATAATGTTAAGCGCTGATGATTAAAATTGAGATCCAAAATTCACGGATGAGAGAATAAAACGAGTTTCGCATAGAGAACAATTTGAATGAAAATTAATTAATTAATTAGCATTCTTCTTGCTCTCCAGACATGGTATCGTGAAGCGTGCAGAAATTGATAAGCTCGGATCTGTTCTTGTAGGTCAACGGCGCCTCCTAGCGAAATCCCCGTCCATCTCCCCTCGAGAATCCAAAGTAAATTACGGACTCAAGATGAGATGTAAACTCGATGAGAGACGAACCACAAAATGCAACTACCACGCTATTATTAATTACTAATGCTCATAGCACGCCGGTTGTAGTGCGTTGCATAAGACAAATTATTTACTGACTATATGCAAAATAACCGATCAATTTAAAATACCTCTCGACACCATCTATCAAAGTTACGGCGATTCAGTAATAATTAACGGCCACTCTCGCCTGTAAATATCATGCGCTGGTGAATCGCTTTCTACCGGACGAATCATCTTTATATTTCAAGGAGTTGCATATTTGACTTATGAAAAAATCACGAGTCAGATTTTTTCGCGTATGAGCTTTACATACCCGAGTACGAATTCTGTGAAATACCGGCGAAAAGTACACGCTGCGATTATTAGTAATATTGTGTAATTATTAGTAATCGATTGTCTTTTCGCCACGCAACAAATTTTCATCGTGCGTACGTACATAATTAGGGTTAAACTGATGAAACATAATTTTGCAAGTCGAATAGCCTGACGTGAATATTACCGATTAAGATGAAATTACCGACTAAATGGTGCAGATTTATCATTTCCCGCTACTTTTCTCGCGTCATAGCCGACGCATTTATTATCGCGTATCCATCGCGTGATCCTTTCGCCGACGCGATCCAAGCAGGCGAATATCAAGTGACGAAATCGTTAAGTCACCCGATGGGATTATGTTAATCGATATCGCAAACACTGGGCAGCGATGCATCCTTACATGATCCAGGCTCGTCCCAGATTTGCAACGGGGATGCGTTTCACCGCGGACATTAACCGGCTCGATACTTGGCCCCTCGCCAATGATTGATTCGCCGGAGTGCAATGGCCATCTCAGATTTTCCATCGCCGAGTTTCCTCGCAATGCGGACTCGTCTAGGAAAACCGGAGGCTATATTTTCCTGATCATTTGTACTTTTTAAATTCTATATCGGGCCTTTGTTGTTATTAATTTTACGCTCTTTAACACTTTGACTGCCTCGCCACCCATTTTTGGATGAGCTCTCGCAAGAATCTCGTCACGCACAAACGGTTTCACTTACTCAATCAAAAGTAATATAAAAATAATGATTGAAAATAATGGAAAATATCATTTGTGTAATATAAAGTGCGTTTATTGTAGCCAGATAGTTCCATGTATTTTAGCAATCGACAATGTGCTCTGCGTAATTTACACATAATCGCGCATCTCTTTGCATGCTCACAATTAGCTTGACAGTCAAAGTGTTAATTAATTAATTAAATTACCTGTAATATCGTCGTACTTTAGGTCAGGTTTTACCAACGCTGTTTAACTTTAAGCCTAGCTTAATTCGTTCTTTGTCTCTTTCCAATTGTTACTTTAGAAAAAGACATGAATTAAGCTAAGATTAAAGTTAAGCGACGTTTGGTGAAACCGGGCTTTAGGCAACTATAGTTGGGCAATTATAGGGAGGTGTGGTAACAGCGTACTTTTTCTTCATTTAGAATTTTTAGTCATTTTTCTCGTGAGAGAACAACCGTGAAAATCGTGAGTCTGTCGTATTAATTACCGTTAAATAAGCTCCCGTCGCAGTTTATCGGTGACATTATCGGTGCAGGGGGTCGGCTGCCTATTTAGGATCGATACACGAAAGTATGTCAACTATAATCGCGGTCTCTCGCGATACTCACGTCGCGCGCGTGCCCCAGTGCACGCCGTTGCTCGTTTCATTCACGATCCCCTCGATCATCCTCGACGATGCACTCGAGGCACCGTAACGACAGTTAAAAATAACGTCGAGCGAACGCGGCAGTTATCAGACCACACGAAGGGCTCGCAGAGTAGCCTGACCCACAATTTCTAAATAAAGAAGTTATTTTACTTGTTCGCTACTTCGAATTATCATTCGCATGATTTCAAGCTTAGACCAAGTGATAAAGTTTGGCAAGTGTTTTTTTTCGAATAACATCTTGCATGGCAACATTATTTTAAAAAAAAAAAGATAAAACAGGCACGTCGCAACAATACATTGTCCCTTTCAAAACCGTGAATGTGCAAGTGTTCACAAAAATAATAAAATAGTTTTAATAAATTTAAGTCTAAAGTAAAACCTGATTTTACTTCAAATTTCAATTTAATTCTTTGACTATTTTATTATTTTATAAAAATTCGTGGCACATTTATGGTTTTGGCATAAAAGAAACAATGCTACGAGATTTCGATAGGTTTCTATTCTACTCTAGTTTCTATTCTATTCTAGTATCACAGTGCATTGGCTAAACATTGGCTAAATATTGGTCCAATGTTGGTTATACAATTATAGAAATGCATTGGCCGATATTGTCCAACGTAAAGCCAATATTTGCCAGGGAATAAATATTGCACGATAATAATTATATAATATTAAATTTATATTAAAGGTGCATTGGCCAATATTTACTAATGTGATAAGAATATTAGTCTAATATTGCGACAAGATTAGACGAATATTGCTAAATAGACATATTGGCTAAACAACAGAAGGCGTTCATCTTATAATATTGGACCAATATTGGAAATACTAGTTACGTTATTTCCGAATATTGCGCCAATATATTGTGCTACTAGGGAAATTTATTGAATTACTCAATAATAATTGATGTTACCTTGATTTATAAATTGCGTCGGGTGCATTCTGACTCTAATCCTCACTGGCATTTGAGCACGCGTCGTGGGAAGAAAGAGATGAAGTTATGAAATCATAGTAAATCGACGATCGAGTACGAAACGGTCAGTGTCGAAGGTGCTTTCGAACTCTTGCATAAACATAAGCTGGCGGAGGGACCTCGGGCAATTTTTCGCACATTATAGCCTTACGATAAGGATGGGAGGAGTTAATAAATCAACTGGCACCGGGGATTGACGTTTAGACAAACCTTTAAACGGTGACTTTAATGAGCGAAAAATAAGAGACGGATTGGGACGAGGCGCAAATTAGAGCTTACCTTACGATTTACGATTTATTACCGATTATTTACGCCGTGTATATATTTTACGAAAGCAATATAAGATAATTCATCCCAGGAAAGATCGCCGCTTAAAGACATTCGTCCGTCGTCTTATGACGACGTTTCGTCAAGTCAATAAAAGACCGCACGACGAATGCAAATTAGCATTAATCCCGTGGACCGTTTTTTGTGTCTTCCCGCCTCGAATTTTTCCGCTGGGGATACTTTTCTATCAGATTTTGCCAAAGGTCGTGGGGTAAATCGGAATAACGCGATACGCTCCGTAATTCACCTCGAGGCAAATTAAATGTTACTTTATTTATCTCGTCGCGATTGCGTGCGTCGGACTATAATTTTGCGCGTACGTCGTTGCTCGCGTTGCGCAAGAATATTTTTGTACATCTCCGCGCGAGAGGAGGTGTATCGAACCTTTTGCCAAAGTTACGCAACATCGCAGAGTGATGGCATCTCGCGTTACGGTAGGTTACATTGAACAATCTAAAATTACGATCTTCCTGGTTGCGACATTCCAGTCAAAAATTCGCGCTCGTCAATTAAGCCGGACCGAGGAAGAAGAAGGTTTCATCATGCACCCTTGACGTTTAACTCCTCACGCATTTCTTCCCCCCGGGGTATAATCATCTATAACAATGACTCGACGATGACTCGATCGATTCGTTAAGGAGGCACTCGAGTCGCTATAAATTCATCTCCCCCACTACAAATTTTGAAGGCAGAAAAACCGCAGATTGCACGCAGGAACTGATATATTCGACACGTTGTCTGGGTGTCGGCAGAAATACAACAAAATCTGCTCGCATAACTGGACCCGTTCGGCTTCTGCCGACAATATGTTCACAGCGTGTTTTACAGACTCTATTCCCAAAACAAAAACCCAAGTGCGAACACAGATGGTTTCGGTTTCTGAGGATCTGCTGCCAATCTGCTAACATTTTTCTGACTGGGTCATTTTCGCGACGTTAGAGCCAAAAGCTTCCTCGGGATTTCCCCGTGACCGGGAAAAAGAGCATTCGATTGATCATTTCTCCTGAGAGCGTTCGGTTTTACTTTGAACATTCGTGCGCTCTCGAACAGGAAGCCTTTCTTCCCCGATCTGTGGAATACGATCCACGGGATCAACTAGGCGATCGCTACCGTTACCAGATCGCGGAATGCGGTGGGTTCGGCAACCGCGACAGAAATAAAATGTCAACGGAGAAGCGTCCCATTAGAAGCGAGAGCGCATCCTGTGGAAGGCCCAAGAGATCGCATTGTTCGTCCGCGTGCCCTTAAACGAGCCAGATCGCGGGGTCGTGACAACGCTGGCCTTTAAATCGGCGACAATAAATCCACGTGTGTCGCCGTCCCTCGCTTCCCGCGTATGCCCGCGTATCTGCACCGGTCTCGCTTCACGCATCCGTCCTCGTAACGTCACTTTACTCCACGACGAGAATAAAGTCTCGGAAACGTGAGACGCGTTCGGTAAACAGCGAAGCTGAACTGATCTTCGCGAGTAATTTAATCCGCAAAAAGGAGTCTCTGTCTCTCTCCTTAATAAAATAACAACTCCATCGAAGACGTCGGTGCACAGAAAGGCAAATGATGCATTGACAACAGCAGCTAATAAAATCTAATTGAAAATAATCCTACCGATTCGCAGGCCGGTATTCATAGTCAGATCTTATATTCAAGACTGTCTTAAGATCATCTTTAGATACTCCGTAGCCAATGAAATGTTCCATACAGCATCTTTAGATCAATTCAAGGCGGTCTTAAATGTAAGATCTGACTATGAATACCGGCCATTGACAGTGATAAAGCGATACGTCATCTTCTTGTTTTAACAAAATGCTATTTCAATAATAATTTTCGGAGTAAATTCCCGAGCTCTTTAATATAAATTCGCATATATAGAGGAGCGTCCCCTATTACGAGATAAACTCCTGATATGAGATAGCAGAGTTTCTGTTAAATTAATAGACATCATCTGTTGGTTCCACCGTGAATTTGGTGCCCTTGGAGTGAAATCTGTTTAGTGAAAAATTCATTGTTAGATCGTGCAATCGTTGCGACAAAAGATTTGTGATTGAATTTGGGCGTCGAAAACCTATCTCACATTTAGAATCCTATGTCATAATGCGTGGTCTGCAATACGTGGAGTAAGGAGTAAGGGAGAGCCCTAACTTCTAGCTTTTGGTGTAAGGAAGCTGAAATACGGGCATGATTTTTAAAATAATTGTAACACTGATTGATGGCATTTTGATTCACCGAGAGTAAGCCTAAGAGCTGAAGTAGGAGTAAGAAATAAAATGGATTTATTTCCTTACTCCTACCCCTTACTCCAGCTTACTCCATGTATTGTAGACCAGCCTTAACAGAGGACCTTTTCCTCTACGAAATACACGATCGTTGGCGAGTCGCGAGCACACGGTAGCTGCTCGAGCGGATCGTCTCCTCGAGGTAGAGGATCCAGAGGGGGAAGAGCGCCTGGTCCGTCGTCGCGTACACGGGGGTATATAAGAACGGGGGCTCGCAGGAGCACGGACCCGCTGATAGGACCCGTTACAGTCCCGGTGTGACACAAGGGTGCACCGCGATACCGAGGCGCTCCCGAGCCGCGCGCCGGGTGACGCAGTGCGAAGTGTCCTCGCCCTCGTCGTCGTATTCGCCGTATCGTCGCATCCTCCTTTATCGCCGCCGTAAATGACAGCCACGATGAGTCGTCGCGGGATCACACGCTCGCTGGTAAGTACGTCCCGTAGAAAGAAATTCTCATAGCTGCGATAGGAAGCTCCAACGGGCCCTGAGGAAACTTGAATCGGCGCCGAATCTACGTAATTAACGTAACATTCGTGCTCTCTAAAAGTCAATTAGTGTAGTATCACTGAAAACAGTTGCAAGTATTAGCACTGAATAATTCGGTCATATATGTAGAGGAAAGTCCCCTATTATGAGATAGCCTCCTAATATGAGATAGAGGAGTTTCTGTTAAATTAATAGGCATCGCCTGCTGGTTCCACCGTGAATTTATTGCCCTTGGAGTGAAATCTGTTTAGTGGAAAATTGATCGTTGGACCGTGTACTCGTTGCGAAAAAAGATTTGTGATTGAATTTGAAAACCTACCCTCTCATATTAGAATCCTACCTCGTTATAGAGAACTTTCCTCTACTTACAGCTGTGAATCAGTGAATATTCTCTGTTCTCAGTGATAACACATTGATTGACTTTTAGAAAGTGACTCTTAAATTCATTTCACTTACGGAAAAGCAACGAAATAATTACTAGAAAATTATTTTAGAAAAGTTAATCTACATTGATAGAAATGGACAAATTTAGGGCTTTTAGTTATCAAACATCACCGTTCAATATATTATCTTTTTATCTGCACACCAGGGAAAAGTGACGATAATTTTGTAATCATTAAATTAGTTCAATTATGATAGCTTCCGGTGGCTTCGTCTATTGTTGTTAATCTCCAATCGATCGCTTTAGATATGAATAATGTTTTCAAAGCTATCTCCGACCGATTTCTCTTAAATTTATTATTTTCAAGATGAAAGAAGCTTCATTCGCGCGCCAAACTCACAGGTGTAAATTGAAAGTCCGCCCGGTGAAGAAAATAGAGAAACGCGTCACTGTAAATTACTCCTCGGCGAAGTTCTCCATATTAGAGAACGCGGGAGGCGCGCTACCGACAATTTTTCCCTCGTTCCCTTTATGCTGCGTGCCTTTCGCGACTGATATAGACAACGTGGCTCATAAATTTCACGTGTACGTCGCAATCTGCGTCGCGAAGCAGCATCCTTGTGGGAAAATGCGCAGCCTCGCTGACTGAATTGCTACAGTGCACGTACGACATGATCTAATAAGATATGAGACGAAATAAAAATCCTGCTAAACCGAAATTTCTAAACTCGCACGTGCGACGCACGGTTTGTGTATCAGAGTGTCAACAATGATTTCATTGATCCTTTTTTTTAGTATAAATTAACGCAGCAGGTGTCAGTTTAATCTCTACATAAATTATTAAGTATGTCAACTTGATTTTATATTTTATTTGTAAATTTAATTATTATTTATTATATTTTAATAATTTAATAATTAATTGTACCAATTACCAGTCTTGGTGTATACGTAATAATTTAAACTCTGGACAAATTATGAAATTATGCGCGTTAAATAATTTATGTGATATCGTGGCGATTGTTAATCAATCCGACAACTCGATGTTCCAAATGAACGTCACACAGCTATTTCCATTAATCCTCGATTACACAACAAACGGATTCTTTTCGCTAACCTTTCCCACTACTTTTCCCTCTCGCGTCTACATTTCTCTCGTGTGCCCGGAGCCAGTTAAGCCACGGTCCCCAGATTCACAACTTCGCCTTCGATGCCTTGGAGATGCCAGCTCTGTTTCTCTCGCGGATGAAAGGTACCGCCGCTAGGAAAGCATATGCGTCGTCTGTCTCCGGCGCAATATACCGCGCGGCATCAGGGGTTGAAAGTTCATCCTCGGCGCGATTCGCGAGATTCCCACCGCACCTTCCAGACGACGAGGGCCCCGGCGATTGCGTCTTAAACTCCGCGGGCCGGTTATCGGGCCCCGAAGCGTTCAAAACGCGGGCCCGGCCGGCCGGTCATCCATTAAGTAGAAAGTGTCCTTTTCCGAGGGATCCACCTCCATCGCATGTGTACACGATGGAGCGGCGATCCTCGGCTGATTATCCAACGCGACGCGGTCGTGGGGTCATCCTCGGCAATATTCTCCGGTTATTCCTAGATAGATGCGGTTCATTAATCCTCCCGAGCAATTTACAGAAAGAGAGAGAGAGAGAGAGATGTTATTAATCGTCCAATTTACAAAATCAATTCCCTCAAGAGAGAAGTCTTAGTAAATCTCGGGAAGAATAAATTCGCAACTTATTATTTTTCTCTCTTGGTCTTTTTCTCGTATAAATGGTTGCGTCTTGATCGGTGCTTTTTTTACATAAGTCCTTCTGTATTTTACAGTGTGAAAAGTCAATACTTCGTACAACTTTAATTGCTCGTAACATTAGGATCTTTTTAACCGAGCACTATGTGCGATCGTAGTCGATTCATCGAGGACGTCGAAACCACTTGGTTTGATATTGGTTTAACATCGATTGGAAAATTGATTTAATATTTCCTACGAAAAGGATATGTAAAGGTACAAAAATGTTTTTACAGAAGAGCGCTTCAGAGGTCTTAGATGCTACGCGTCATAACTTCGCATTTCTTGTAATAGTTTATACTCTTCTTTGTCTATTTCCAATTAGAAACACAAATTAGAAACACAATTTCAATTAGAAACACATCTAAAGTAAAATTTTAAGGTTTTCTAAGGTATATTTTCCCAAGGGATATCCAACAATTATTTTATATAGCTCAAACGTGCGGGAAATGAGGTACCTTTCTTAAATTAAAAACTGATATTTGATTTTTTCGACTGCATCTTCTCAGCTACATATGCAACAACTCTCGCAGATTTGGTGTTTGCTGTCGTTCCCGGCGCTCTTCGCCGAGAGGCTGTCCCCGGATCAAAAGGCACCGCAGTTCGCGCGCGGTTCCGGCGGTCTGATCCTGAAACCGCCCTTCGAGGGCGCGCGGGCGATAGCAGCGGGTCCGCCGACCTCCACCAACGTCGCCAGCGAAGACGGTGTCCAGAGGGAGGAGGTCGCTACCCTGAAGCTCGTAGATGGCGAACTGGTCCGAGTGGTACAGGGATCTTATTCTTACAAGAGTCCCGAAGGGATCCCCGTTTCCGTTAAGTAAGAATACAGTCTTATTCTCTATGTTTTAATGTTTGTTTGGCCAGATTTTCTACAATTTTATTTAGAGCTATTTTTTTAAATATTACGAGCATATAATATTTAATTGCCTGTTCTCAACAAAAGTTAATTGTACGCTTTATCGTTTGAATTTCCAAGATTGAGATTTTTTTATGTTTCCAAATTTGCTGAATCTCAACTTGAAAGCGGAATCTTTCGAATCTTCGTCATACGCTTGAAAAGTTAAAACTTGGATACGACTTCGGAAATAAGACTGCAATCCACTTGGCTCTTTGGAATGCCTCGATGCATCTCTGGCAAGCGGATTGTAACCCAAGTTACAAACTCTTTTAAAATAGTTACTCGAAAATTGTAATTTTATTTGTTACAATACCTGATTCAGCGAGTCAGAAACAGTAAAATAACATGGTTTTAATGTCTCAACTAGCCACAATACTTAGACACAGTATCCTTAATTCTTTGACTCGGGAAGAAGAAAATTAAGATAATATAACACGCCAACTTTGCATTCGCAAGCTACGTCGCGGACGAGAACGGGTATCGGGCCGGATTCAGATTGGGAGCTGCCGCGACCGGCGTGACGACGGGGCCTCTCGTCAGACCGCTAGGGCCCACTATCGGACCCTCGGGACCTCGTATCGAATCCCACGTCGGATCCCTGGGACCAGGAAGTACATATCTGCCATCGAAGCCGAACGTCGATCGCAGTTATCTGCCGCCTCAGTGATCTTTGAAGGCTGGCGTGAACACGCTTCCGTTTTGTGAGCACGGTGATCAGGAGAGGCTGCGTCCCTCGACGGTATCTCCCGCAGAAAGCTATAATGATTTTCTCTGTGTAATGAATTGTCGAGGCACGAGTAATCTTAAGGGAACGAAATTTCGAGGATTAGGAAGTCAACTTGGCGGCTCGCAAATTTTCTCATGATGAAAAGGTCAAGTTACAAGATATTTATTAATTTCTGCTGTCGATAATCAGGTGTTAGACTTAATAGGATAAATTCCTGACGATTCTTCTCGTCTCTCTCTCTTTTTTTTCTGCAATGTTTGCGCAACGAGGCTTCGTATATCTGGCGCCATCAGTACCTCAATTTCTTCCACCGTCCGTCTCTCCCGCAATTCAAATGACATGTAGACACGCATGTGTGTTCGATTGACGCGCAAACTACGAATAAAATGCGCATTTTTTTCTAGCAAATCCCTCAGGCAGTTTTGTAACGTACGTCGCCACGCAAACGTGGCGAGATCGTGTTAAGCGTGACGCCGGTCATGAGCCGCGATACGTGGTGAATCCGAAAGGATTCAGCAGCAGAGGCATGTGATAGTGCTCGTCGGGATGTTGCACATCGAACATCACGTCGATCATCGGGTATATGGAAGCGGTCGCGATTCGCCTGAAATAATCGTTCACCCGAAACTCGATCTTGAATCTACCGGGCGCGCCAATCCCTCGCACGTCCTGCAACAGATCCCCGCAACGTCCGTTTGAGTCTGTCGTGCTGTGAAAAGAAAATTTTTCAATTAATGATGAATGAAAAATGAACTCAATATCTCTTTCCCACTTATTCAAGCAAATTTTCAATTAATGATGAATGAAAAATGAACTCAACATCTCTTTCCCACTTATTCAAGCAAATGGAAATGTGTGTGCGCGAATGATACTGCTAATGTCAATATGTAAAAATAAAAGAGCATGTGGTACTTATGATAAAAGTATGCAATGGCACGCAGAGGCATGCGTGTATACCTCTTTCTGTCTTTAAAAAGAATTCCTGGGAACTGTGAAAGATGATGAAAAAGCATAAAACATATGTGCAAGAAAAATATGTGAGATAATGTAAGACGCACCTCTCTTTTAGAAGAATCCACTTGTCATCTTCAAACCTGTAGAGAGACACAGGCAAGCCATCGGCAGGCCGACCTCTGCTAGTATCCAAAACATGCGTAGTGATACTTAATTTTCCTTCATTTAGACCTGGGGTGCTCATCTGCCATACAAAAAGAAACGAGAAACATAAATGCATTGCATAAATTACAATTAAAATTCACAATTCGCTATATAAACTCAATCTTCGCTTTTAACCGTGGATTTTTACTACATTACGGGCCGACAATATTATTTTGTATGCTTAAATAACTTGTGTAATCTATTTAAGAGATTTAAATTAATAGCTTTTTTATTAAACACTTCTCTCCAAAGTTGGCATCTTTCAGTCAAGTTTCTTTAAACGTCTTTTAGTGACTTATAAAAGGCTATAAGTCTTCTATATTATATATATTTTTCGTATTATGTATTACATTTTAATAATTTGAGGGAACAATCTGATCTACTTCACTGTTACCACGCCCAGTATTCGCGTCGTAACTGCGCTCGGTATGTACTGACTACGCTCGAATATGTGCAGTTTCCAAGATTGTCTGGATATAGATAGAATAGATCAAAGGTCAAGGAATGCAGGCAATGTGATTGAAAGATTGGTATTTATCTTTAGTTTGCATTTATTAGAATTTAACAGTTTTTTAAAAATATATATAGCTTACATGACTCAATTCGAAAAGCGAAAAGTGCATACCAATGTATGCATCTTTTAAATTAGGTTTTTTAAACGTGATATACGAGAAAAAGCTAAATAATATACTTACATCAACTTATAACTTACTGAAACTAACATATTTATTATTTATAACTATACTAGCTTTTCGTGATTATTTCAAAAACTGAATTCATTACTTACATTCATCAAGACTTAGCATATGTTAAAAACAATTCTTAATTAGGCACAGTAATCCGTGTCTTACAGATATCACGTAATAATGTTTTAACAGTTAACTTATTTATGTAAACTTTATACTTTGTCGCCTTTACAAAAACATTACAAATATTCTTATTTTTATTTTATTTATATTAGGTACGGTTATACTTAGATTGTGAATAACAGTTATTTTATATTATCTAATGTAATTATCTTCCGTATATGTATGTACAATTGTCCCTCAATTTATACGGAATAATCGTTGTATGTACGTGGGTTTTTTATACAATAAAAGACATTGCCAGAACAACAAATACATAAAAGTTTGTATTAGCTATAAAAATTAAAAATATATTTAAAAATTATACTTTCTGACTGCATACACGAATTATTCTCTGTATAATAAAAACATGCATATTTATTAAACTCTGATTAATACATACTTATGTATTAAATATGTTCAATACTTACGCAACTAACTTATCTCATTAGACAATATAAAAATAGTTATATTCTTACAATAGTGTAATCTTCATGAAAATCATAAAGTACTTCTTGGCAACTATCACGAACTTGTATTCAATAGCACATTCTATTTCTATTTATGAGCCACGAACTTATTCAATAGCACATTCTATTTCTATTTATGTGCCACGATAAGTTGTATAACCAAATGGGCTCAATAAAAGAGGAATGTGATAATGATTGTTCGGGTTCTTTACGTCAAATACAATTTCGACGAACGGAAACATGGTGTCTATTCTTTTCAGTGTGAAATATTTGTCAACGTCGAAATGAATCTTATAACGGCCGATTGAACCGCTCACTTTTTCCACCAGATCACTACAGTGACCATCTGCATTTGTAGTGCTGAAAAGAAAATTTGATTTACTACATTTATATTCTTGTTACAATCTACATTTATTTTTCAGGAAGGCTTACAGTAGCAGAATATGAATATTAGTCTTAAAATCAGATTTGACAAAAACAAAATTATATAAAGTTTAAAATAGTATTTTAGAAAATTAATAAATTCTGTCGTATTGATCTATAAAGGCTATATTGAAGGAAATAAAAAGTAATAATAATAAACTAGAAAACTTTGGAAAATCACGTACTTTTCATTCAAGAAGGTCCATTTACCGTCCATCAGCTTGTACAAGCTAACTTGCAACCCACCAATTGGAAGTCCCTTGATAGTGTCCACAACATATGTGGAAATACACAATTTTTTCGATACAGTCTGTTTTACAGCTGTCTGTTTTCCCAAGACAACGGCCTAAAATAAGTAAAGACATCAGTGATAATCTTATATCTTGAACCTCCTGCTTCATACAGAAGAGAAATGGACCAAAAAATACACATGTTTTCTTACCTTCTTAGACTTGGGACAAGCCGGTTGTCGATTGACAACAGTCGACTGTTGACTGGTGCTAGGAATAGTCAATGACTGGTTGTTGCTGGATGCATTTTCCTTTATTTTCTCTGGTTCGCTAGTACCGACCTTTTTCTGATCGGTCAGCATCAATGCCGTTGGCTTACCCTTAAGTTTTGTCAGTACGTATTGTACACCCGGTTTCACGGCACCGCCGCTTAATGTAAATGCCTTATTACCACACATCAGAGTGAAGGTCTTTTGATTCATTACATTCGGTACGATCGGCACAAAATTAATCGTATTCTGAGTCGGAACTGTGCCTGTCGGTGTGTTTGACTGATGAGTCGTATTCAGTATCGGTATCGATGTAGTCATAACCATATTGTTTTTATTGTCCTCCTGCTGTTGAACAATATTTTTTCCACATTTAATTAACGACATTCGATTTCGTATACAAGAAGTAATGACTTGCAGCATGAGATTTAGTTACACGAATTAATTGAGCTTAAAGTTGATTTTTAATGTCAGGCTCGAACACGTTCATATTCGTCTACTGTTGAAAAACTGTCACTTACAAGGACTTTTCCGTTCTCGGTAGCTTTGATTACCGTTTTTTCAGTTTCGTGTGATTTCGATGTCTTCTCAGCGTCGTCGTCTACCGGCTCAGATAGAACAGATGCATCATTGTTGGTCGATTCCACCTCCATCTCTATCTGCACATTCTCCTGATCCTCGACGTCCTCCTCAAGATATTCACTGTGAACATGGGCCATCGCCTCCGCCAAAGGATCTCGACATCTTTGCTGTGTAACATTATGAAAAATTATAGGTAATTCGACAGACAACGGTCTCTGCTAAATAAAATTATTACTAAAATTTCGAATTTTAATCGACCTCAGCTGGTCACATAAACTTCTCACGTAAACTGTATGTACATTTACTCCTAGATCTCACTTTATAAGGATCTAAACCAAAGGTCGAAACGTTGTGAATGCGTATTCAATAAATGTGGCCAGCTGAGGTCGATTAAAATTTGAAATTTTATTTATACCAATACTGGCAATCTAATGAAATATACCATTTAAAATTATTACTTTTTACTACACAGGCATAATTTGTGACATAAATTACCTCGGACACTTTGAGCTTCTTTATTACAGATGGAGAATCCTCATTAAACTGACTATCATCCGTTTCTTTTTCGTCTTCCTGTTCTATGCCTCTTTCTTCCATTCTTTCCTTTACATCAACGAACTCCATTGATTCGTCTTCATCCGATTCCAGTCTCTCAACAACATATTCGATGTCGTCTTCTTCACCGTATTCATTTAGCTCCTTTTGAGCATCATCCAAAGTCTGAATAAAATATTTCATATATTACTTAGTAAATATTAAGGCTCTGTTGATATACATTTACGTTAGGAGCATCGAGAGGCAATAAGAGCCACACGCTAGGTGTTAGGTGCGGAAATCATATTAGATTTAATGTTAAATACAGTTGAACAAGTCGAACGTTTCGATCAACCAAAGTGATCCTTCTCGATGACATCTGGAGTATAACAATAAGATATCTGTATCGCACCTAGCGCCTAGCGTTTGGCTCTTTTTGCCTCTCTATGCTCCTAACGTAAATATTTCATATATACTTCATACTCTATATACAGCTTGATAAGACCTTGAGATAGACTGAGTACATAACAAAGTTAGTCCACACTACGTTACCAAAAAACAAATGTAATATAAAATGTGCACAATGCGAAATTTAATGTACCGTATTATCTGTCCGATCCGTTTAAATTCATTAAATTGAGGATTACTGTATTTAATTTGATGTACAGTCTATTCATTAATGCCTGGACCTGCATTTTTATCATTATTTTTATCATCTATACAAATCACCGAGTTTCAGCCTATACGTATGTACCACCACAGACTTCTATGGAAGGCTGTGTAAACTACAGCCTGAAACTCATCGATGTATAGATGAGAGAATAAAGATCATGAAAATGTGAATCCTACTAAAACCCGAGGTCCAGGCATTAATGAATAAGACTGTACATTTAAAATTTCGTAAGCGATAACATTTTGTTACTGAATAAGAAAGAATACTCAGTAATCATGAAGGTCTCATTTACCCACAGTAAACTTAGTTAACTATTTGATTAACTTGATTAAGTGATCATTGATTGTCAAAATATAGCAAAATTAACAAACTTATCTCGCTGTATATAGTTTTAGTTACATCATTTTTTAATGTTTTTACGTCTCTCTATATAGGACGGCCCATATTTCATCTTAACGTGCAGCTAAAATAGAAGCCACAAAAGAAACTCTGTACTGATTGCGTTGTGTAACGTATGTTCTTAATCTAAAAATATTTCCGGGACGAAAAGTAATTTAATGAACACACAGGACACCCTATATAAGAGAATTGGCGAGAAATGTATGTCGACCTCGACTTCTTCCATAAGCCCCACTTCGGGTGCGTCGGTGTCAAGCCTCTGCATCTGTTTCTCCTCCAATACGTATGTCAAGGCCGAGCGTTGGTGCTTCATCGTGCATGTATGCTTCAACAGCGACAGGCGGTGCGCGTGTAGATTCTTCTTGCAGTAGAGGCAGTAGGCACGTGTCGGTTGAAACGGCACTGAAGTCAACCATCCTGTAAACAAAGATATTTTGATCTTTCGCTCAAATAAGCACTGCCATCAAACTGTTTGCCCAAATTGTATCATCGCTCCATGAAGAACCGCGAATCGAAGATTAGAATCAAGCGGAACAAAAAGGACTAAAGATTGTTTAACTGGGACGCTAATCTTTAGTTCTCGATCACTTCTCAATCTCCCATGCATAGTTTGATACAACTTTAGTGTACAAAGGTATGTTCTGCAGAATGTCTCCAAAGTTATCTCTGCGTCCACTTGCTTTAAAAGTTTTGCAGTTATTACTACGTTGTCATTTATTACACATACAATTTGTATAGACATCTTTATTTGAATAGTAATGTATTTTAGTAATAGTGCATGTTGAAACGCTACTTCATGTCGGTGTAATCAGAGATCCTCGTTGTCTAGTTTGACTACAGTTTCCCTGGATAGCCAAACCTGCCGGAACAGATTTCGGCAAACACCCACTACAAATTTTGAAGGCAAAAAAACCGCAGATTGCACGCAGGAACTGATATATTCGACACGTTGCCTGGGTGTCGGCAGAAATACAACAAAATCTGCTCGCATAACTGGACCCGTTCGGCTTCCGCCGACAATCTGTTCACAGCGTGTTTTACAGACTCTACTCCCAAAACAAAAGCCGAACGCGGACGCAGACGGCTATGGTTTTGGCGTGGGCTTCTGACAAATCTGCCAACGTTTTGCTGACTGGGTTCAGAGATTTCGCTACAGTCAGAGAACTCGTTGCCGCTCTTGTAAGGTTAACTTTTCGAGCGCATTGATCGTAGGAGAATCTCTGGGACTTTAGAACAGTTTTGTCCGGTGATCAATCGACGTACTTGAAAAATTTGTCGCGCGGCAAATTAGTGCGCTCGAATAAATCAAAACATGGAAAACAATTAAGTATCGTGCGAGGTGGATAAAGTTGCAAATGATATCCCGGGAACTTTCCAGCGTCGAGAGCCTCCGGAGACACTGACATTGTCAAAGTTGGATCGGCCTTTCAAATTGGTCTTCTTGTTTATTCACCAAATGTGTACCGGTTACTCCTATCTCGAATGTAGTTTGTCAACAGAAGCGCTTCCGTACAATCGACGGAGCGAAACCGGTCGCAGATACCGCGCCGCTTTTCGACCCTCGTCCAATATATGTTTCGTCGCGTATTTTTTTCCGGGACTCAGGTCCACCCGATAAAACGATTGCCCATTACGATATCATACATGATCTACAATTGAAACGAGGGCGGTTCATACTTGGCGTGCGCGAGGACGGTTCTCGCTTAGGTTACCAGTTCGATAGACCGATCTGGTAATCCGTAACGTTCTCTATTCCCAGGGGACTCACGGAGAAAAAAAGAGAAGATTATATCATTGAAAATTTATCCAGGCAGTTGGTACGAGCGCCCGTCCCTTTCCAGCGTCTGAATTCAAGCGTCATCCAGCGCCACCGTGGTCGTAAAATAATATATAAACATATTCTATTCGGGCGGTCGAGCGGCCCGCGATCTTGCACGGAGACTGAAATTCCTACTCCCGGGGTCTCTAGCCTAGAAGAGGCGCGAGTGGAAACGGAGTCTGCCAACGTGCCAGCGATAATCTTGAACGGGGCCGTCTGTCTTCTTCTCTCTACGCGGCACGACGGCGAATCGATTAGTGGACTAGGGTGTGGAGATTGGAGAACTGCTTCGAGAACGAATTCGACCCTAGAGCAGCGTGAGGGGACCCTATAATGCGGGGCTGCCTGCGAACATTACGCGAAAGGGGAGAGAGAGACAGAGAGGGAGAGAGAGAGAGAGAAAGAGCGGCGACGTACCTTTAAAATCGGACATATTCTCCCATTCCTTCCTGTAACGCTGCGTGTAGACACGCGTCTTCGCGTGGCTGATCTTGCCGGTCGGCGTGAGTCGCGGTGTCGACGCCATCAGATTCCTACATATGACGCTTTGCTCGGTGATGAACGTGATCGTCTGCGACGAGCTTTCCATGCGGACTCGCCGAGCGGCCGAGCCCCGAGCCTTCGCCTGCTCTCCCAAGATCCTCCCGCGGATCGCCGCTTTATTCTCTACGCGGTGGGGACGGGATACCCAAAATCCCGGCACGAAATTACTAAATAGTTTTTTTTCTCCACCTGGCGCGGGATGGGGAACCGCGGGAACGCGGCGCGCGACCGGACGATCTCTAGACTCCTATCGCCTAGTATCCTCGCTCTAGTCTAACTCCCTAGCGCAATGGCGGACGTGGCGGGCGTCGACGTTACTGCGCGATGGCACCGAGACGGAAGAGGCAGGCGAGACTCCACTCCTCTCTCCGTTTTACCCCCTGCGCGTGCGATGACGACGGCGATGGCGGCGCAGCCGCAGGGCCGTGCCCGACGACGCTCGGCCCCAGCCTCGACCGGACGCGGGTAATAAGAAGTAATCTATTTTCTGTGAAAAGGAAATAATACGCTCAGGGTTGGGAAGTGACTTGGTTACTTGTACCGAAGTTACCAGGTTACTTTTTTTTTGGTAACTTTAACTTCGTTACTTTTTCTCCGTGCGTAACTGTAACTCAGTTACATTAATAATTGCTTTATATGTGTTTGAAACCTCCGCAGATCGCGTTAGGCCTTGCATTTGCCCATTAACGCCTTTATCGAACGCTCCAGTCTAATATTACATTTGTCGTATATACAATTCAAATTTAATAGTTTAATTTTTATTGCAAGAAAGTAACTGCAAAGTAACGAAATTGGTTACTGAGTAACTAGATACTTTTATAAGGTAACTTTTCAACCCTGAAAATTTTATATTTCTTTAATTGCGAATTGAATTTGATTAGTTTAGAGTTTAATTTCACGTTTTACATGTAAAGTTTACACGTAAAGGTATCGGTTTTCATTCGTCATCAATGATCGTTAATGCTCATTTCTACCCGTGAAGATTAAAGATTCACGCTCGAGCCCCTGGTTCTAAGAATTAGAAACAGATTAGAGGTGAGTTGAGCCGAGATCGAAATTTATAAAAAAATAGAGGTAGACATAAAGACGGGCAGTGACAAAGCAATCTGGAGTACGAGATAAAATGTAACGATACATACCTTTTACATCGCGATCAGTGGTTTCAAATTTCTCGCGGTGATATTCGAGTTGTTCTCCGGCAAACTGACGATTAATTTTCCAGATTTTGTGACTAGGATCGCTTCTGGTACAAAGAACAAATTTAAAAAGATAGGGAAACGTTATTAAAAAGTTAATGTAACTTTAATCACGACTCGACTTACGTCTCTATCTTTTTCCGGCGCTAAGAATTAGAAGAAGGTGAATTAAGATTGAAGCCAATCTGTATCGGTAGAAATGACCGTAAGGCAATCCATTTTATCTAAATTGTCGGCCCACCTCGGCCCCCGCTCCCGCTGTATCACTGGCGGGCATGCGCGGTACGCGGCCCCTCGTCGATGTGCGCGCGCAACCGCCAGGAGCGCCGCTACGCAGAAAATCCTCGAGGAAGCGTGGAACTTTCTAGTTTGTAAAATTAGGGAGAATGTTTCCTACGTTATTGTGTACCAATCTCGGGTATCCACGACGGGGAAACCGTTCTCGGGGATTAATCTCCGCTTGGCGGTTGCGCGCGGTAGCCGTGCGGTAACCGCCTACCGCCATCTGGAAGTCCCCGAAGCTCCGAGAAACAACGTGTCTCTATCTTTTTAAATTCCTTCTTTGTACCAGAAGCGATCCCGGGGGTCAGTTCTGTGTCTTACACTATAGGGAAAATGCTAAAAGCGAATAGCATTCAAAGGGGACGAATAGAAAGGGACTTTTAGCATTTTCACTGTAGCGCAAGACGCAGAATTGACACCCGGGTCACAAAATCTGAAAACCTAATCGCCAGTTGCCGGAGAACAACTCGAATGTCACCGCGACAAGTTTGAAACTACTGATCGCGATGTAAAAAGTGTGTGTCGTTATATCTTATCTCGTACCCTGGTGAAAATTTTAAGTGAGAGACGATGTTTCTATTTATTCACGAAGAGTTTTATCGATAGTCACATTGTTTGTGAAGAGTTTTATTGACGGTCACACCGTTTGGAAGTACGTTGCGATCACCTGGTTAATTTGCGCCACTGACAATAACGTTTTACAAACACTTAGAATGTTTGACATTGGCTGTGCTTTACCTCCGCTAAGCAGTTGCTCGTTTGGTGGCGGTTTCGATTGCAGTGCCGCTTATAACTCAGCCTGAAGCCCGTTAGTCTATGAATTGGGATTGGGATTAGATTGAAATTTAACCAATCACAGTAAAGTTTACTAATCTCAAGTTCAGTAACTTTTACTTTGATTGGTCAAATTTCAATCTAATCCCAATCCCAATCCGTAGTCTGATACGGGCTTTAGCGCTGCTGTCCAGCCAAATATTTGTAAGCAAGCGCTCGCCGCTTACGTGCGCTTAGCTAAGCAGAGGTTCGGCAAAACACAGCCATTGTATCATTAAACGCGATTTGAACACTGGTGACCGTGAACGTGTCATAAACAACTCCATGTTTAAATTTATACCTCGCAAACAATTCAATAAATGGTTTAAAACTCAAATAGAGCATTGACTCGACATTTAAATAAATTTCTTATAAATATATTATTTTCGCCAAGGCACTTCAACATTGCTTTGTCACTGCCCGTCTTTATGTCCACCTCTATTATAAATTTCAATCTCGGCTCAACTCACCTTCAATCTGTTTCTAATTCTTAGAACCAGGGGCTCGATCAGAATCTTTTCCTCTAACGTAAGCTCGAGAAAAGTGAAAAAATTTTTCACAAGTTCACTCTAGAGGAAAAAAATTTACGGTCAAGCCCCAGGAAAGAATGAAAAGACCCTGGGCAGAATGGCTGTCTTGTATTCTTAAGTCACAAAACAGTTATTGTATGTTTCTTTAAGGGAAAGATTCACAACATCAAACATTGCCCTAAGAGTACAAGACAGCCGTTCGGCTCGGGCCTTAAGTCGAACCGAGATTAAAATTAATCTTCACGGATGAAAATTTTGATACTTTTGCGTACGAACTTTGCATATAAATTTCTTTACACGTGTAAAAAAGTTTTAATTAATCTAATTAAATTTCAAATTACAGGGAGTTAAAGGCTGCGCTCGAAATAGTAAATTTTATTTTGTTTTCAACGAAAATAATAGATTATTTCTAAGCGCAGATCAAACTGACCACAAAATGTTAATAAAAATAATGCACGCATTGCCGATTGTTCGAACTAACGGCAGTCGGCTGTCCGCGTTTGAAACTCCTGCGTTCGACGACATCCTGCGTCGTTATTTCGACGTCCTACAAAAAGCAGGATGTCGAAGCCTTGAAGCACTTAAATAAAGTATTCCCAGTGAGAAATGATTCGTCGATCGACGAATCATTTCTCACTGGGTTAGGCAAGAGTTTAAATTTAGAAAGTTTTTCTCACAAAAAACCTATTTATCAAGATGTCAATACAAAAAGGAAGGAAATTTCAAAAATTCGATCTTTTCTTCGTCGGAGAAGTTGCCGACAAAAGAAAGGAAATGAAGATAGATAATTTGAGCAACTACTACCCTCTCTTACGGAAAAGCAATGAAATTACCAGAAAATTACTGTACATCGGTCATTTCTAATAATTTAATTATAACTGATATACAGAGTTGAGAAAGTTACTTTATAAAAGTATCTAGTTACAGTTTCTTTTTTGCTAAAAATGTAACTAGTTACAGTTACAAGTTACCAATTCTGAAAAGTAACGCGTTACAGTTACAGTTACTAAAAAAATAACGAATCGTTACCTTGCAGCTACTTTCTTGCAATGAAAATAAAAGTATCAACTCAGCATTTGAATCGTAAAGTGTCGATAAAGGCGTTTATGCGCAAATGCAAGGCTTAATGCGGAGGTTTAAAATACATATAAAGTAACTTTTAATGTAACTGTTAAATTAATTACTACTTATCGACAAAATGTAACTGAGTTAAGTTACAGTAACAGATGGAGAGAAAGTAACGAAGTTAAATTAGAGTTGCCAAAAACAAGCAACTAACTGTAACTTCGTCACAAGTTACGAGTTACTTTCCAACCCTGCTGATACACAGTAATTTTCTAGTAATTATTTCGTTACTTTTACGCAAGAGCTTCCTTCCTCTTTTTACTTATAAATAAGAAAACAAGTTGTATATTGTTTCATCTACACACTTTCAATATTATCGTTTTTGCACAATTAACACGTTTCATTATCCGTACGCAAATTCCAACTTAAATGAAAGACACGTGTCGCTCTCTTGAAAGACAAATTATTTATATCGTTAATTATTTTTCGTCGTCTCTTTTCATTTTTTTCTATTTTGCGTACGTACCCAAAAATTCCTCTTTCTGTCCCCCAACGCCTCATCAATTGTTCTTGATATTTTGACAATGTACCCTGTCGAATGAAAATGAATCTTCCTATTTGAATCATGTTTGACCGGCGTCCTTTGTTGTAGTTGTGTTTCCTTTTATCCCTCACTCAAGGACGGGCCCGAAGAATCCATATAACGCCCACGTTTTATGTGCTGCGGGGGTGGCGGGGCGGATGCAGGTAGAAGGACGAAAATATGCCCACTGCGTGGTCCGGTGTGGCTGGGATTTAAAAACGGACTCAGCAAATCACGTCGCAGATAGCATCCGACCGGTGAACGGCACGAATGGAGTATAGCGCCTACCTAAGGACAACGCTCCGGGCGAACGTTAAGTGAATGCTCAGTTTAAATGCGGCGGCCGAGTAACACGTGTCGCCTGACCGTACTCCGATGGTTCTCGTAAGTAACAACAATTGCAGTTCGACAATGGACACCGTGTGCTGTTAGACTATCCTAGTGTCACAGTATTGGCTAAATATTGGTCCAATATCGGTTATATTGAAAAGTCCTGCTATAAATCTTTTTCGAATGCGAACAGAATAATCTATCGAATATAGCGTGTCAGTTATATTATGGTACGATCACAGGTTTCACTGTCTTTTGCATAAGATATGTGCATTACACAATAAACCGTGTGCAGTACGTAAACTCGATGAATATTACAAAATTATACTGAACGAATACTCCAAAGACATTATTCGACGAATATTCTACAAACGTTCTTCCTTGTTACGAATATATACGATTTCTCATTGTAATAATGTAGATATATTTATGGAATATTCGATTGGAATATTCTGAAATGAAGAATATTTGCACTCCGGAAGAATATTCATAAAACCATGTGTGCTATCTGGGTATGGGCCACGAAATAAATGCAAATATCGCACGATAATAATTATATAACGTTAGATTTGTATAGGAAATGCATTGGCCAATATTTAGCAATATAATATGAATATCGGTCTAATATTGATACAATATTATATCAATAATTCTAAATAATATTTATATCAATATTCTAAAATCCCTAAATTTGTCCATTTCTATCAATGTAGATTAACTTTTCTAAAATAATTTTCTAGTAATTATTTTCCGTAAGTGAAATGAATTTAAGAGTCACTTTCTAAAAGTCAATCAATGTGTCAATCAATCTCACCGAGAACAGAGAATATTCACTGATTCACAGCTGTAAGTAGAGGAAAGTTCTCTGTAACGAGGTAGGATTCTAATATGAGAGGGTAGGTTTTCAAATTCAATGACAAATCTTTTTTCGCAACGATTACGCGATCCAACGTTCAATTTTCCACTAAACAGATTTCACTCCAAGGGCAATACATTCACGGTGGAACCAACGGATGATGCCTGTTAATTTAACAGAAACTCCGCTATCTCGTATTAGAAGCCTGTCTCATAACAGGGAACTTTCCTCTACATATTTCCCAATATTGCGCTAATATACTGTGCAACTAGGGTAGTTAAAAAAAATCGTGAGTCTTCGAAAAATAAATTGATAACATTCGACTCCTTCAGCGTTCCCTTTCAATTCTTGCCCCTTACGTAATGTATCGCGTCGCCAAGACGTTTTTCGAGAAGTGAAATATATAAATTTCGATTGTTACGTTTTTAACGACTGAATGAACATTCATATTCTTTGCAGATCACTCGACGCAACAATTCCCGGCGCGATCTAATTCTGAGATAATCGGGACGACACTAACGTATCAGCCATGAAGCCAATCCTGTACAAAGTCGAAACGTACATCATGCCCGAAACGGAGAACTTATCGGTGATTAATGAGATCGATAATCTGACAGCCGGGAAGTTTAGTCTCAGCAGCGAAAGCGTGTTCAGAAATAACGCGCAAACCGAGGAAGATGCGTCGCACGCTTCGTACAATAAATGCGACGAATTCGCCATGTTCTCTGCCGAGAACAGCAAGCTGATAGGTATAAAAATCGTGAAAAGCGTAACGAACGAGACTCTCAACGACGAAAATTGCGATGAGGAAGTCTTAAAACATTATACCAATGACAATTTTTGTCGTTCCAAGGAGCGCCTGAGCGTACAAAAACCGGAGTTTCAGGCGTCGATTGGGCCGCAGGAGGCGTTGTACCCCGCGAGACAATTCAGCCGAGTCAACAGTTTGACGTCGATTGACGAGAAAAGCGAGAGCTCGTTGGACAAGCTGGCCGACCTGTGTCATCACGGCTTCAAGAACGGCTGCACCGCGTCGATCCCGTCGCCCGAGGAAGTCAGCGAGGAGGTCTTCAGGAAGAATTGGCTGCAGAAAATCGAGGTCCTGAGACATCGCGAAGCCATCCTGCGAGAGAAGGAGATAAATCTGCAAAAGAGAGAAAGGGAGTTGTTCAGGAGGGAGAAGGAGCTGAGAATCACGGAGAGAATCTTCAATGATAAAGTCAGACAGATAGAGCAGCATTTAAGAGACCAAGAGGACAAGATAGTGGGAAAGAGGCTGGAGGCAGCAGCGCGAATTTTGTACGAGGTTGAGAAATCCGACTATCTATCGGAAGAACAAATTCCGAGGAAAGAAGATACTTCAAAAGAGGAAGAGATCGCGAAGAAGAAAGAGCTTCCGAAAAAAGTAGAGATTCCGAAAAAGGTAGAAATTCCAAAAAATTG